AAGAGGATTCTGTGGAAAAAAATATATAGTAACTGTTTTTTGTGTTTTTGTACACACTTGACTTTATCCTTCGTGTAAATTGTATTGTTTGGCATACATGTGGATGATGTGCCTGGAAAATGTTCCACTTTTCTATATCTTGTTACACAACAGATGCTCACAACTCTACTTTACTCATAGGGATCTATGAAAATTAAAGTTACATTTTCCAGACACTCACTTTCGTACATTATTAAGATTCATTAATGGTGGCAGAGAGGAATAGTGTTAGAAGCTGTTTATTCTGGCATTGAAAAAGTACCAAAATGATTTGATCGCGTCTCGTAGTGTAGAGATATCTACCTATCATCTTTAGGTTCCTCTCCGGCTAGCACAAATTCATCACAAGGTGCCAATCAACAGCCACCACCAGGATTACATAATGGGTCTCAAATGCAACTCAGTCATCGGTCAATCTTTCAGGCGGACAATAACAGCTTCTTCAGTTCAAACACTTTCCAGAAAATCTCTACCACCACCTCAGTGCCACCTACTTCTTTAACAGGCATGTACATAAAGTAGTTTCTTCTAGTGTTGTTTCTGTGCACATATTCTATTCGGTTTCTCATCTGATACTATCTGTTTTCGTGTGTTTTGTTGTATTTGACACGAAAGCTAGAGTAGAATGTTACAATTCAATTTTTCTTGGACATGCAGCAAACCCAAATCTGAGTTGGTCAAGCACAGGTTTAACTTCTATTCCTGACTCGTTGCCAATGGTTCAGTCCAGCGAGGATTGGCAAGCAGCTTTTGGTTTTCCACCCGAGACATCACGAACAAATCATGTTGTACAAAAATCGAGTCCTTCTAGTTCGCCAGGAGTCACTTTCAATTCCGATGGTTTTGTAGATGAAGAAGTTTACAACAACCTGCAATATACCACAATTTCAGAACCTTCTGCTAGTTTTACCTCGAATTTGCTTGTTAATTCTCCAGCATCCAAATTTATGGCTGATTTTCAACAAAATTCTTTACAACAGAGGCTTGCTATGCAGGTGAGTAATCATTTAAGTAGTTATATGTTTTTATTTTCGTAAAAAAAAGATAATTCTTCCTAAAACTCAACTTAGATGATCAGAAAGACATTGACCAATAAAAATAATGGAAGTTTGATAGCTTTTACATGATTGAATGCGATTAGTAACAGTGGTAAATATGATTTTCTAAGGCACAACAAAATCAAGAGAATTGTGAATATATAAAGCAAAATGGTCATGCTACTTTGGAGGAAGTTCGAAATCACAAAGAATCTGGGTCAGATATTAAAGCTGATGATGATTTAGGTTTTGATCCTTTCCACGAAACACAAAAAGCTTTAGCCGAACTTATGGAAAATGAAATGCAATTGCAACAGCAGAGGTTGTTTCAACAGCAACAACAACAGCAGAGAGAACGAGAAGAGCAGAATAGGGTACAGCACCAACAAAATATTGCGAATCTTGGTCAACAGCACTATCCACAGGTAGAAATATATAAATCTTCAGAAATAGTCATACAAGGCAATGTCCCAAGGACAATGTCATACAACTGTGTCTTCCCTTTTTAATTTAGGTTGCTCATATAGCGCATCTACAACAACAGGCCCAGCACTTACAAAATCTACAGGTTCTCCAACAGTCGCATTCCCTACTTTCTCGTCTTCCACAAAATTTATTACAAAGTGGTACACAAAGTCCTGCTCAAAACAACGTGGCTGCAGCTAGTTTGGGGCAACGTAGTCGTCATCCACCACCAGGTTTCCCTGGTTCTACACCAAATCACATGAATTCTTTTGGTCTTGGTATACCGCGACCAGCTCCCACGAATGGTGCTCTTTCGGGTTAGTATTATCTCAGTCCCGTAAATAGTTTGTGAACTTTGTTAAATTTTTTGGTAATAATTAAATATGTATACTTGTGGCGAGCAACAGTGTTATCCAAGTATAAAAGCAAATTGAATTCTTGTGACTTTGTCAGGATTTATCATAATATTATGCATGAGTCATTCGTCTAGTATGCTGTTTACAGGAGCACAACCGCCGCAGCAAAACGCGTATCTTCCAAACGGAAACCCCCTTCTGAATTCGCAAGGTGATTTTTAATAATATTAATATGAGGTTTCGCATTTATTATCACAGTATTGTGCATAACATTTTACATTTGTTAATCCTTCATACAGGCATTAGTAAATGCGCGGGTGATGCAGTATATACGCTTAAGGATTGGTGTGATATTAATAATCAACAGCAACAACAACAATTTCATCATCAAGCATTACATCAAAAAGGAGGGTGGAACAACTTCGGACCTATTGCAGACTGGACTTCGATTGATCCAGCTATTGTTAGTTCTTCTAGGCCTCTTCCATTCCAAACCACGAGTACATGGCAGTTTCCACATGTTCATCCTACACATACTGTTTCACATAATGCGCAACAGGTATTAAACATATTTATGCAAACTACTTTAATGCATAAGATGTTTTGTAACAGTCAATATGACTAGAAATACTGTGATTATAGTGATTTTATAGTGTGATTATAAATAAGACATTTCTCAATTAGCTTAGAACCAAAATCATTTATATTCTTCTGAAATATATTTCAATATATTTCCATTTACTATTCGTTAGGAACAACAGAACGCACCAACACAACATTGGGCAATGCAACCACCTCCTGGTTTTGCTGCACCAGCGACTACGGGACAACTGAGTAATCAACCAAGCACAACTGCACAGCCGCACACCAAACTAATCTCTGCAGGATCGGAAATCGAAAGTGAGTTCCTTAATTCTAATTAAATGTTTCTACGTAATTTTGTTTACAGGCAGCAATGAAATATACAAAACGTCTGTATTACAGATCTATAGATAAATACGAGTACGCGAAATGTACAACTGTATGATAAAGAAACATCCATACGAGACGAGATGAAAGTCAGCAGTGATACAAAAAATACCCGACAGTCTGTTCCGTACGTTTTCCTGACCCGTGTCTATATCTTTCAAATATAATTTTATTTTAATGCTTTATCTGTTCTCACTGGATAAGATTTATCGTTGAACAAAGTATTGAAGGATACTGAAATATAATTTCATCGATACTTTCGAATATATGCGACGAATATATTCCTATGTACGTTTTCGATGATATTCTCATATTTAACCTTAGTAAATTCGAACTATCTACAAGTCTGGCAGTCTTGTTATTAATTATAACTGATTACGTTTTACTGTAGACCAAGCTACACAGGTGTCAAATTAAAGACAATGATCATGATTTACTAATTAACACTTAAACAAAGATACTTACAATGGTATAACTATGAAACAAATATATACATATATATATATATGTCATTCAGACTTCAGTAAATTTATTCGAGTGGGAAACGGAATATGCTTCTTTGTGTAAATAACATTTTCAAAACAGATGTCACAAGATAAAAAGTGCACAGGACACCACAATTCAGAAGCAACTTTTCTCTTGAATACGTTATAAAGTCTTATTTAAAAAGAAATAATCCAACATCTGAAATTATGTTAACAAGAGAAAATGATTGACATTGAACACGTCTTTTTATTTAAACTATAGCAACGTACTACATTTATACTACAAAATGCTTATATAACGACGACGTTAGAACAAATTTTTTAACAGAACATTATCTATTTGTCTGTTTCTAGGCAAAGGGTTTCTGTTATAAATATATATATATATATATTATAAGTATGTATTATTATTGTGAAAATGCGCAGATAGACACATGCTAATAAATGAAACTGAAATGTAAAAAATTAAGGAAGAAGTGACCTGTTGCTTTTTTCTGGGATGGTTGTCTGATCTGAATTTGTAATTCTTCGGTCTTTGACGAGTTTTACATTAAATTATCTTCAGAATGAATTTTGTTACACATCAACATACCACGTTGTGTTTAACAAATTTTTTGCAGATTCTCGTGTTCGCTTTAACTCTAAGGCGAAAGACTTATAGAGAATGGACTCTATTATAACAACGTTTGGAAGGAACAAAGTGTAAGAAAATCTATAGCTAGGGTTCATTAATTTCGAATTCAGTAATGTACATTAAACTCATGCCGGACAAATGCATAATTTATAGTATATATTTCGTCGCATTTTTATAATTAGAAGAAAACATGACACAATATGGTAAGGAAACGTAGAATTGATACAGGAAAAGTACGAAAACTTCAAATAAAAATTGGCGATGGTATTCAATCACCACGTGATCCAGAAAACTACGAGCAACTGTCGAGATGATTAATACGGAAACAGTCAATGCAACCGAATCTCGAGTGCATACACAAAACGATTACGATACATATACGTATATAAATATATATGTATGTATATATATATATATAAAGTATGTATATATATATACATGTATATATGTATGTATATATATATATATATATATATATATATATATATATATATATATATATATATATATATATAAA